GTTCATGTTTTTAAGGAGACGTGAACTCTGTTTTTCTCGGCTATAGCTGTAGCACAGCTCTTGTGAACCTGCAAAGTTTCATTTCAGAGGTGAGAGCAGTTATACTTGATGCGACATTCGATGACGTGCTGCCTCTGGCTCAAGCCAGGATGCCAAAGGTTTTTGTCTTCTCAAATTATTGCTATTGATAACTTTTCTTTGTACTCTTTTCATAGCTCTGAGTTTAGGTGCTTTCTGATATTGTCGAATACGCCATAAGAACCCATTTTGATCTCAATATCAAGTCCATTGTAAGTACAGGTTCTATAAAAAATAGTTTGGATTCTTTTTGCTCATTTTTCCTTTTAAGATTGCGAAGTACAAAGGACCTTTGAAACTTATCCGTCGGCTACAAGAAGAAATTTTGACCACTGATGATACGGGAACCGAGGCCCAGCGTCGAGCTAGCAATAGGTACGTTTCACTGTCTTGACAGACTGTCGTCCATCCTAATCTAGATAGCTCTTAGGGCCAATTTCCTGCTCAAAGGTGTTCTCCAACAAAGGCATCCTAAACTGATGGTGGACCTTGACTCACAGGTATTTAGTTTGTGCAAAATATTTTTCATATATATAGAAATGACTGCTAGAATGTTAGAGCGTGATGAGCGCTCAAGTTGTTCTCTATGGTTAGCTCAACCGTACTTCTTTACCGGAGTTCCTTTTTTGGTATCGAGGCCTATGCATTAAAAGTTTTAGACCTAACACGAATATTGACGTTTTGGACGTTTTTTCTACCATACGCTTTATTTCAGGTTGATCGTTGGCTTGCGATGAGCCCACAACATCGGGCATTAGCTGCGCATCCGAAGAACGATGCTGAGATAGCGATACGTCGCGCGCGGCTGTTTGCCGCCTGCGATCACTACCTCACCGATTTCGATGCCACACATGTACAGCCGCTTGATCCAGGGTATGATATTCGAGAATTTCCTTAAATGCACTTTCCGCGATAAACTAAGGCTATAAGCAATCAAATGTATTGAATGATCCGGTAGGCGATTGTAGAGGTCGCACTACATTCAGAAAAAAAAAGAATTTGCAATAATTCCAGTGGTAGCTGAACATTTAGACCCTTGAGCACCCCTTACATCCATGAGGCAACTATCTGCTAGCTGGTAGCCTCGTACCAGCTACGATTCCGTATGGTGAGAGTGAAGTGATAACGGAAAAAGCTGATATCGTTATGATGCTGCAAGTGAGAATACGTACAAACACGCTTTCTCTCCCCTGCTCTTCCTCCCTAATTCATTGTCTGCTCGAACAAGCTGTCCTTCGGCAGGGGATCCCAGATAGGGCAGCATTCCGGATGATTTTTTCGGCTTTTTTCTCTTCACCCCTGAATACTGAGTACCTTGTTGTTCGTAGCTCCATTATAACTGCCTTTTATCGGAGTTTGTCTTTAACGACTGTCTTTTGTGTTTGTGGTGGTATTGCTATAGAAGGCCCTCACTAGTCTGCTAGGCTTTCACTCTGCACTCACAGAAAGTCTGAGAACCTTGTTGAATATACGGTTGTCTTCAGAGATATTCGTGCAACCACTTTAAGTACTGTGTCACCCGTCGTTCCACTGATCATTGACCTTCTCTAGCGGGTGTCAGCGATGTCTGCACTGGTTCTTGCCCTAGTACAGGGGGGACAAAAAAAGTCACTTTTCTTCCTTGACTTTCGAGGCGCTATAAGTTACACTTTATCAAACTCTGATCGGACATTTCTACCACCATATTAAAGAGCATATTAAATACTATCATGATACTCCGCCACAGCCTTCTGGAGGAGCGCCATCGAGAGATTCTGCCACGCGACCGTGAGTTCAGCGAGATCGTTGATTTCTCCGCCACTGTAGACCACCCTGTTGAGCTCCGCCCGAACCGGGTAATTGAGGGAGTTTAGGTCAGGTGACCTACTTAGATATTCCATCTTCTTCAGGTACTCAACGCCCTTCCATTCCAAGTAGGCGAGAGTTTTTCCAATGCCCTTCGAATCCACGTGGTGTCGCCCAATCCTGTAGCAGTACAAAGTTTCCAAGAAGGTACGGGTGACGACATGTAGGGAGGATATTCTTCTCGAGTTGCTTGATGTTATCGCCAGCGCTCACCTTCAGTCCGGGGTTCACGAAGAAAATATCGGTCTTTCCATTCCAGGTACTCAGGTCCATACCATCACCCGCGCCTTGGCGACTGTGGTGAAGATGATGTCCTAGACCGTAGCGACGTTGTCGGAGCTGCTCGATGTTGGAGGTCTTCCAGATCGAGAGTACTGGTCTCCAGGTAGCTATCCATGGGTGACTCCATACTAGAAGTTTCGCAGCTGTTTGGAGGTGACATGAATTCCAAAGGTCTTCTCCAGTCAGGCTGCGACTGGAGATGACTTCATATTTTGGTGTACATGAAGGTGATGGGCGAGCCAGCTCCTGCTTATCGAGGAACATCTTGGGTATCTTCCGCCCTGGTACTCGTATCCACGTCTTCTGTCTGTCTGGGCTGCAAAAACTTTGCTGATATGTGACTCGGTCGAAGTGACTTTTTTTGCCCCCCCTGTAGTCTAGTGCACGCTTTCAGCTCGAGCAACACCTGGTATTTCATCGCTTCCGTCAGAGCTTTCATGAGGTAGTGAGATCACCAGGTTGTGATTCTGGTTCGTTTCACGTCCTGCGAGATCCAGTCAGCAACCGCTTTTCCTCCACCGTCACAAAATCGCATAACGTGTCCGACACCCCCCCCCCAACCAGTGTCATTCCTTAGCAAATTCGACCACTGTCAAGCGTGGATCGCGGAACCCGCGACGACGGGTCGTATATGACTTGCCGGTGGGCAGGAGGGTATCGTTTGTGCAGGTATCACTAACGAACAGACAGCGGCAGTGTTCACCGCAACAGCTTTTATACATCCCCATAACCTGAGTTCCCCGCCACGCTGGGAATTCATTACAAGTTAATGCAGTGTAAATGAAACTATGTCAAAGTTACATGTCGCGTTTGTCTGACTGCAAGGAACTAGTCAGCTGGCTAAGAGAATTGTTTGGTCCATTTTTTTCTGATTCTGGATGGAAGACGAGTGCAAGGCGCATTCCATCGAGAGGTTGATCAGAATCTCTGCACTTAAATTCCTAATTACTACAAGTTTAAAAAGTGTACTGAAAACCTTCGGAGGTTCATAGATGGAAGTGTGAGCAATGTAGGGTTCGGACCATTTTGTTGCAGGGGAAGCAAACTCTGGTCCTAAAATCCACGGCGAGCAAATTTTTGCTGTAGACCTAGAAGATAAACATTTTGCTTCTGAGAAGACGAGATATTTTAGTTTTCACTGTGTAGGTCGTCACGTTACTTGATGCCCGAACGAGGCTGTGTGCACTGAACGGTCAAGAACTGCGTTCAGCAAAATATTTTCCTCGTTATTTTGGTCACTATTCACGACGGGTAAATTTCCGCTTTAGTAGCCATGGTGCGAAAATGTTGCGAGTAGAAAGAGGACATCCTCTAGTCCCTGATCCCGGCTAGTGCTTCACTCCCACTCCATTATGTTTGAACGAAGTCGTATCCACTGAAAGATGCGAATCTCACGCGAAAAAATTCTCCGCATTGTCACAAGAATGCTGAGTTATGGGCAAAAGTCGAACCTCAGGCGTGAGTCGAGGCTTTTACCCTCTCAGCTCAACGGCTTTTATGCCGTCTTCTTAGAATCTTATAATTTTCATCCGAAGTGGCTCTTCGCCGATTTGAGCCATTTCACGGCATTTTTGCTTCATCTCCGGCCGGGTGTGTCGTTAGGTCCGCCTGGCCGGAAAACTCGTCCAAAGGGACCTGTAGCCTTACAGCCTTCACACGTTTAACTGGGTGTGTACTGTAAGGCTAAGCTCTAGCATTTTCCGGGTAAACCCCGTCGGTCACGAAACCCGCATTCTGCCAAGGAAAAAAATCGCTTGCGGGCGATTGTTATGCCACCTTCCACAAGATTGAAGTTGTCTGGAAGTCCAGTGGATCATGCAGCGCTCCATCGAATGAGAAGCGTCCGCAGAAACAGACCCATTCCTTATGAGGACCGTCTTTGTCAGGTCCATTTTGACATTTCCACAGGCGCAGTTGAAATGGATGTAGTTGTCATCCGTCGATTTTCCATGTTTCCTCATTCAATTTGACAGATAACGTCGCAAGAGAGGTGCTGAAAAGCCGTAGCGAGATGGTATTGAACCTCATGGAAACTTTGAGTGATCGAGACCGGTTTCCTGATCCTTTTAATGTAATTGTATTCAAGGTACTTCAACATTCCCGAGCCGATTCGCGATCTCAATTAAACTAATAATCAGAAGACACGGTTTTATTCATTTAACCCTGCAATTAATGCTTTACTAAAGTATACATATACATACTTAAAATAATTAAAGTGATGTAACAGTGATCTTCGGATTTGTGTTTCGTTCATTGGTTCGTTTATTATTGATTACGAATGGCCAAAAGCTTCTGTGATTGCTTAGTAAAGTGTAGTCGATAGGTTTGTAAGTATGAGTGTTGATATAGTGCTTCTCTCTCACAATTATTGTAACTGTGGTCTTGTCAAAGTTACAGATATGCACTCGTATTCCATGAGTTGTAAATCATAAAAAATAAAGAGAATTTTCGCGAATGGCATGAACATTTTTCCGTCTGACATCTTAACATCATGTGTTTAACCCGCGAGATCATTTGTCAGACATGCTTTCATCGAGCGATTAGGTTACACTCACATTTTGCTGTTCTTCCAAGATAGCATCACGTGACTTTACAGAGAT